GTACAACAAGTGCACAGTAACTAATTATACAGTAAAACTTTGAAGAAAACAGAAACACCTAGTATGTAGATAAACCCCTCCACCTTTTTCCAAAAACTTTCAATTGAAGTCTTCAAAATTATCGAATTCAATAACTATAATTAAGGATTGTATCCAAATACTACATAAAAGTAATTTACAGAACTTCAACATCAAATTAACCAAGCATCAAACCCAAGACAAATCTGTTGACTTCCAAACTAGCCATGAACGAATAAATCAAGTCATTGACATAATAACGCAATTATGCCCCAAATACAACATAATTACCAAACCCCCAAAAACATAAAACACCAAAAACTCGCACGCAGATTAATCCAGCCGCCGAAAAAAGAAAAACCCAGAAACCAAAAGCAACAAGGAAGAAAACCCAAATCAAAACTACAACTAAAAACGTAAAGAAACATATCGGGAAATCATGAGGCCAGGGATCGAAGAAGAACTCACCGAAATCGAGTCAAAAGCAGAGAGCAAAACAACCGAGAGATCGTGCGCCGCGGCGCGAACGAGAGGGCTTTTCAGCCCCCTCGTGGATTCCGGGATACGATGCGGGACTAGGGTTTAAGAGTGGGAGAGTGAGAGGAGGAGAGAGAAGAGGGGGGAGGGGGGTGGAGAGCGAGTGAGGTGAAATATATCGAGTGTGGGGGGTTAGGGTTTCTCTTCTCACTCGATCTCCCAAATCTCAATACAGCTAGGATTTTTATTTTTATTTTTATTTTTAAATACGCGTAGACTTGGGTTGGATGGGAATCATGGGATCTTTCTGCGCAATATTTACTAGATTCCCCCTTGCCATTTGGTGAAATTACCTATTTACCATTGGACTTCCCTTGTTTCGGGTGGAAAAAATTTCCGAAAATTCCAAACCGAACAAAAAAAATCTCAATCCCAAACCAAAAATTTCCCAAACCGAAATTTCTGAAATTTTCGAGATGCTATCCCGAACCGATCCTGAAATTTTGGTATGAAATTCGAGATTGGCTTCTCAATATTTCGGAAATCTCATACCGAACCGAAAATATATAATATTAATTATTATTGTAGACATCGAAATTTCGTAAATAAATGTTGACCGGTAAATCAAAGTGTCAACGCTCATGTATTACATAAATTTTACACGTAGCGTGTGATTCAACGAAAATTGAAATGAGTTGGAAAAGTCATCAAATAGGACACGTGTCAACACCTGGCAGAAACGACTTATTTCATCTGGAATATTATATTCAAAATTAGGCCTTGGAATTTCTATAAATACAAGCCTATTTCATTCATTGAAAAAAAACCAAAATCATTAGGCAAAACTCTTGAAGCTCTGAAGCTCTGAAACTCCGAAGCTCTCAAGCATCTAGGTTCCCGAAGAATCAAGAAAGCCTTCTTCGTTCTTCGTTCATCGTTCTTCCAAGATCAAGCCCCAACGGCCCTTTGGATCAACAATCATCCACCAATTCAAGATCAAGCCCCGACGGCCCTTGAAGAAAGTGTTCTTCGTTCTTCGTTCATCGTTCTTCCAAGATCAAGCCCCGACGGCCCTTGGATCAACCATCCACCAATTCAAGATCAAGCCTCGACGGCCCTTGAAGAAAGCACCATCGTTCATCATCCGTTCATCCAAGATCAAGCCCCAACGGCCCTTTGGATCAACAACGTCGACAAATCCACACATCCAACCGTTCTTCAAGATCAAGCCCAAAAGCCCTTGAAGATTCCGTTCATCACTGTTCTTCAAGATCAAGCCCAAAAGCCCTTAAAGATCCGTTCGTCACTGTTCTTCAAAGATCAAGCCCAAAAACCCCCTTTGAAGATCCGCTCAAATCCACCTTCAAGATCAAGTCTACGGCCCTCGAAGAACGTTCATCCTTAGATCAAGCCCAACGGCCCTTTGGATCAATCGCACATCCACAAATACACACCTTACGGAGATCGAATCAGAGGATCAAAATAGAGAGAGATTGTAACCCAAAATCATCAAATACAAATATTTGTTTTTGTGCACGTTTGTTCTTGTCTCTTTCGTTTCAGGAATTTTCCGTGTTCACAAATTGGCACGCCCGGTGGGACCATCTCTGCCTCTCATCTCTTTCTCCGTTCAAGAAATTCAAGCGCACTTCCAAAATTAATGGCATCAAGGAAGGCTCAAACTGTTCCCGCAACCGACGTAAAGAACAAAAGCGTCCTCGTCGCAACTGGTGTCACTTTAGGCATCACGACTCGAAGCATGGCAAGAGCTACTTCTGCCGCCTCTTTCACCTCTGCATCAACTATGCCAAGGGAACAAAAGCACCCAAGGCACGAGCCTTTGATCACCTTAGCCTCGCTAAGGGCACCAAGGGGGGAAAGCCCAAGGAAATACTCCGAATCCATGCTCTCCGATGCCGATTCAAGCGACGGTTCAGCCATGCAAGTCATGACCATTGGAGCAACTTCAATCGATGAGCAGCTGGCTCAAATGAATGAAGCAATCGCAAGGCTAACCCGAACTGTGGAAGAAAAAGACTTGCAAATTGCTGCACTAGTCAACCGACTGGAGCCACAGGACGACGAGAACCCTAACCCAGAAGATGAGCCTCAGGTGGAGAAAAACGATGCGAAGCCCGAGCCAGATCCAAGCAGCGGCACTAATGGGATCTCTTTCTATCCAGCAGCTGCAAGGAGATGATCACCAACACCATCAAGGCACAGTACGAAGGGAGCTCAAACCTCCGGGTTGTACTCAAAGCCGTATTCAAAGAAGATCGACGCCCTAAGGATGCCAAGGGGTTATCAACCACCAAAGTTCATGCAATTTGATGGAAAAGGAAACCCGAAAGCAGCACGTTGCCCACTTTCGTTGAAACTTGCAACAACGCAGGGGACCGAAGGGGAGGCTTACCTCGCCAAGCAGTTTGTGCGCTCGCTGAAAGGAAACGCCTTTGAGTGGTACACAGACCTAGAGCCTGAGTCCATCAACAGCTGGGAGCAGTTAGAGCGGGAATTCCTCAACCGCTTCTATAGTACCCGCCGCACTGTGAGCATGCTAGAACTAACGAGCACAAAGCAGTGGAAGGACGAGCCAGTCATTGACTACATCAACAGATGGCGCACTCTAAGCCTCGACTGTAAAGACAGGCTCTCGGAAACCTCTTCAATCGAGATGTGCATCCAAGGCATGCAATGGGGTTTGCAATACATCCTTCAAGGCATTAAACCGCGGACCTTCGAGGAATTGGCCACTCGCGCCCATGACATGGAGTTGAGCATCGCCCATCATGGGAAGAAAGAACCGATCGCCGACTACAAGAACGACAAAGTTCTTGGGACAAAGGTGGAAAAGGTTACATGGAAACCCACCAAGGAAGCGATGACGGTCAACACAGCTCCCGTCAAAATCTCCACACGAGGCAAGGCGATTCAAGCCGAAGGCTTTCGTGATCAAGAGATGCGTAGACGCACTTTGAATGGAGCTTGAGGAGAAAACTTATCCATTCCCCGACTCTGATGTGGTTGCCATGTTAGAAGACTTGCTGGAAAAGAAGGTGATCGGCTTGCCTGAGTGCAGACGGCCAGAAGAGATGAATCGTACCGACAGTCCAAGATACTGTAAATTCCACCGCTTCATCAGTCATCCGACAGAAAAGTGCTTCGTGCTGAAAGATCTCATCATGAAGCTGGCTCAGAAAGGAATCATCGAGCTAGATCTTGACGATGTGGTGAAGTCAAACTATACCACTTTCACTTCTGGCTCTTCCGACTCAAAGTTTTCACCTCAACCGCTGGGGGCATCCTCCAAGACAAGCAAAATTGAAGGATGGACTCAAGTCACTCCTAAGAAATTGCACAAGAAGCATACGTCTCCTCCACAAGTCCGCCAATCGGAAAGGGGGCAAAACAGCTCTTGTCAACCTTCAAAGCAACATGAACGTGTTGAAGATGATGAAATTGTGACACAAAGATCGTCCGTTGCCATCACGATGCGCGACTTCTTGCCCGAAGACTTCTTCAATCACGCAGTCAAAGCTCCTTGCTATGAAAATTGTGAGGAACGCCTCTCCCGGATTGCTTGACAAAATCAACAAATTCTCCTTGCCCGCACGAGTCTAAACTGCATGGCACAAAGCTCCTTGTTCGCACGAGCCTAAACTGCACGAACCAATGCTCCTTGTTCGCACGAGCCTAAACTGCACGAACCAAGGCTCCTCGCCTGCACGAGCCTAAACTGCATGGCACAACGCTCCTGGTCTGCACGAGCATAAAAGGCAACACCAACGCTCCTTGCCTGCACGAGCTTGAAACTGCAACACGGCACCAAATGCTCCTTGCCTACACGAGCTGAAACTGCAACACGGCACCAAATGCTCCTTGTCTGCACGAGCTGAAACTGCAAACGACACCAACACTCCTTGTCTGCACGAGTTGAAACTGCAAACGGCACCAAAAGACAATACAAAAAAATATATATATATCTATGTATTTGAACTACGTTTTGACTTGATCTCTTTCTTTGAAAGGGTACGTAGGCAGCTGGAATATTTAATTTCGAGTTCAGTCATATCAAAATAAAAAAAATGTTTTATTAAAGAAAAAAAAAAAAAAAAAAAAAAGACATATGTTTTATGTATTTACAAAAAAATATATTTATTTATTACAGCTTCAAAAAATAAAAAAAATAAAAAAAATAAAAAAAGTAAGTAAAATAATTAAAAAATAAAAAATAAAATAAAACAAAATCGAAATGTCAACAAAAGACCCAAATGCCTGGCCTATCCCTTTGCCAAAATGTCTGCTTCTTCTTCTTCCAAGCCCAGGCCTCCCTCCATTTCACAGGCCCAGATACCAAGAGCCCAACTCTCGTGGCCCGCCCGAGCAGCAGCTAAAAGAGCTCCAACCGACAATGGCATCGCACGCCGTCCTCTACAACCCCTCCGACATTGCCACCTGGGTTGACCTCCTCCTCTCCGGTTTGAACCACACTGATTGAGACAGCCATGGTGAACAAGAAGTCGGTGATGGAAGTAATCAGAGCCAGAGCCGCGAGGCCGAACTTCTGCAACAACGACGACAAAGTCGTTTTCGCCGTTCACGGGCCTCCCTCCAGCTCGACAGCCGCTCATCCTCTGTGCAAACCTGTGTCTCCAAACTTACGACCATCAGAGTTTTCGAGTATATCAGCTCACCTGCACTTCTTCCAGGCCCAGGCCTCCCTCCATGTCACAGATCTCCACAGAAAACCCAAAGCTGAACCAACTCACTCTCTCTAGAAATTCGGTTCTCCTGCTCCATAGCTCTCTGCAAGTGCAATGCAAAACCAATTCAAGCTTAAGCTCTCAAATATTTTTTTTGATCCGCATCCGGCTCCTGCAAGACTCGAAACTTATCAGACGAGATCGAGAAAGCCGCTCCGGAGATTCGTCAGGTCAAGAGTACTCTGGTTCGAAGAATTGCAGAGCAGATCCAATTGAGGGAAGAAACTGTGGAGGAGTTCGCAGATACTGGTATTGATACGAACAGTCGGGTCTCTGCCGGACCCTCAAACCCGATTCCCTATCCATCCTCTCATCATCAAAATCCTCATCGTCTTTGTCAATCTCTTTCTCTGCCGGATCCGAACCCGAGCCCGTTTGGCATAATCGTCTACAGCTCCACGCCCGACTCGAACACCAATTCGGACCCGTCATTTTCTTCCTCTCTGTCTTCGAATCTCGCGACCAGGCTGCCAAACCGGACTCGATTGCAGCCCAATTCCCCAAATTGCCCCTGTTGCTGCGGCCACCCCCAAAGCTGTTGCACAGAAGGTGTTTGATAAAGAGGTAGTCCTCTCCACTCCCTGCGATTTCACCGCCCAGCCGTTGACGAAGGAAGATGAGGAGGTGGTCAAGTCCGTGGGGGCGGGAACCATCCCTTCCTACTCTCTGGAGTCAAAGCTTGGAGATGGCAGGAGGGCGGCGGCTATCAGGCGCAAGGCACTTCAGAGGATCACAGGAAAGTCTCTGGGTGGTCTGCCATTGGAGGGGTTTGATTACGAGTCAATTTTGGGTCAGTGCTGCGAGATGCCAGTTGGGTATATTCAGATTCCAGTTGGGATTGCTGGGCCTCTTATGCTCGATGGCAGAGAGTTTTCCGTACCAATGGCCACCACCGAAGGTTGCTTGGTTGCCAGCACCAACCGTGGCTTCAAAGCTACCAACTTGTCCGGGGGAGCCACCAGTGTGTTGCTGAGAGACGGGATGACCAGAGCACCTTGTGTGAGGTTCAACTCTGCTAAGAGAGCTGCCGAGTTGAAGTTCTACTTGGAAGAACCCAACGATTATGACACCTTGTCCACGGTTTTCAACAGGTCAAGCAGATTCGGTAGGCTTCAGACAATTAAGTGTGCCATTGTTGGGAAGAACTTGTGCATGAGATTCACCTGCAGCACCGGTGATGCTATGGGGATGAACATGGTCTCCAAAGGTGTGCAAAACGTCTTGGATTTCCTCCAGAACGACTTCCCTGACATGGATGTGATTGGAATTTCCGGCAACTACTGCTCTGACAAGAAGCCCGCTACGGTGAACTGGATTGAAGGCCGCGGAAAATCGGTGGTCTGTGAGGCTGTGATCAAGGGTGATGTGGTGCAAAAGGTATTGAAAACCAAATTGGATGGGCAGAGAGGAGCCTGGTGGATGCGCAGCTGCTGTGGTGCCTCCCTCGAACTCATCATCACTATGACCTCCAAGATAGCAAAGAACTTCAACGACCGCCGTCAAACGACTAGCCGGTCGTGAAGCTCGAAGCACCATCTTCTCCGTCCTCCTTGCTCCGCTGCCTGCAAATTTCTCTACCCATCATCAACATTTATACAAAAAAGATATATTAAAAAAATAGGATGGTGGAGCAAAGCAAAGTGGTGCATCTGGCACCACACGTGAAAAAAGAGGAATGGTGGATCAAAGATGGGGTACAGCCCCATGGCAGATCAAAAGTTTCTGGTGGTGCATGGGCACCATGTGCGAAAAAAAAAAAAAAAAAAAAAAAATTGTAAAAAAAAAAATATAATAAATAAATAAATAAATGATGGAACTTGGTGCATCCAGCACCAAAAGAAAAAGAAAAAAAAAACAAAAAAAAAAACAAAAACAAATAAAAAAAACAAATGCATAGAGAGAAATAGAAGGTCCATTTTATTTATTTTTCTGGAAATTTTACATAAATTTGCTATTATACATAAATTTAAAAAAAAAAAAAAAAAAAAAAAAAAAAAAAAAAATCAAATCAAATTTACAAGAGGGGATATTCAAGGACGATCAGGTGGCGCCTCACAACTCGGTAGAGCTCCAGGAAGAGAAGGCGTCGGAGGTTGGCTGTTTGAAGCCTCAGCAGTCGGTACAGCCCCAGAAGACGAAGGTAAATGCTGCTGGAACAAACCCACAAACCTCCGATGATCAAGTAAAATTTGACCATCAGATTCCTGCATCTGGTCAATTTTCCTCTTCATGTTTGTGGCATAGTTGTGTGCAAGCTTGTGCAACTGTTTATTCTCATGCTTGAGCCCTTTTGATCTCCTGTTTGAGACTCATCACTTCAGCCGCCAACGATTCAACTTGACGGGTTCGAGCAAATAGGCGTTGGGCCATGTTGGACACAGAACCCGCACACTGCACACTAAGAGCCAGGGACTCCTTAACAGCCAACTCATCAGACCGCCTGGAAAGTAGTCTGTTATCTTTGGGAGTGACAAGGTTCCGGGCCACCACCGCAGCGGTCATGTCATTCTTCATCACCGAATCCCCAACAGTAAGAGGACCAGTAGGGGATATGAAGGATGGGCGCCATATGTTATCTGGAGAAGACGGGACTACCTCTTCACCAAGGTTCAAATCAAAACGACGGTCGGAGGGTCCAGACATTTTCAAAGTGTTGAAGGAAGAAGAGATCGGACAAATCAAGATCTTAGAAGTACAAGAGGGGAGTTTTCACAAGCAAAAATTCAAGTGTGCTTTGAAACGAACTGCATGCCTCTATAAAAATCATCACTCGACGGGATTTCAGAGATCGAAGAGGCGAGCTCAGAATTCGAAGAGGCCATTCAAAAATCGAAGAGGCAAGCTCAGAAATCGGAGAAGCATCTTGCTTTTTCAGACGTGTCGGCACCCGTCACACGCAAACTCAGCTTTGCGGAAATCACGGGTAATTTGTGTCGAAGCGCCAATCCCAGATATCGAAGAGGCGCCAGTCTTTTTCAGCCGCGTCATCACCTGTCATATGCACACTCAACTTTGCGCAAATCATGGGCAATTTGTCGAAGATTTTCGGTGAAGGAGAAAGCACGTTAAGTTTACTGTTCAATCACGCGTTAGTTTGCCGACACGAGTGAAAGAATAGTACCTCTACAGGTATTAAGGGACCTCCTATAACTGTCCACCTTCACCTTCCATAGCAAGGCAGACACACAGAGTTTTTCTTCATCTCCAAAGATGTTTTCCCAACGAAGCCTCTCGAGTCATTCAGTGTTCCTTATTCCTTGGGGTACCTCTGCAAGCCAATGACTTCAAAGCAAAAGTATCTCATATCACCAGGGTAGAAAGCAAGAGTATCTCATATCATGTGTTCTCCCAGTCCTTCCCTTTGTCCTTGTTCTTACCTACAAAGACAAGGATAAAGAAAACAATATGCCAGAACCTCCACTCAAACTCGGGTAAGGAACCGACTGCTTGGAGCCCTTCCCTGATTGCCTACCTAGCACTGCTATCGAGTACTCGTCTCCCACTGCTGCTGTACTTCCAAAGAAGCTGCCATATCTGCCTGAAGAAACAAGCAGAGAAGAATGCAGCATGCACAGTCAACTCAGCAGAAAGAGTCTGAGACGAAGAACTCGAGAAGATGTCGCATCTGCCTGAGGACGGTGAACTTGTTTTGACCCTCAAATTCTTGGGTCGACTTACTAGGCGTTGTGGGCTGCGCGTGCCGATTCACCACCCTTGAATCGAATCCTTAAAGATCAAGTCACCAACTGGAAGAAGAGTTCATCAATCTTGAAGATCATACCATTGACCAAACTGCTCAGGTGTGAATTAGAAAGATTGAACAAAGAAACAGGTTGTCACATTTACCTCGTGCCTGCTTGCCATGTGTTCGAGTCAACCTTCAAGAATCAAGCCTCAACGGCCCTTGAAGAAGTTTCCAGCCAACTTCAAGATCAAGCCTCGACTGCCCTTGATGAAATCACAAGTCCGATTCAAGATCAAGTGTCTACCACTCTTGAATCAAAACCTAGTTCAAGAATAAGCTGTGGAAAATCAACAATTGGAGGAATCCAGAAAATCCTTCAACCCAGTTCAAGATCAAAGCTGTGGAAAGTCAACAAGCGCAACAAAACACGTGCCGATTCACCCACTACCAAAGCCGAAGATCATCTACCACATGAAGCTCCTTGTGGTCCAATTTCAACCTTCAAGATCAAGCTTCGACGGCCCCTGAAGAAATTTCAAACAAAAAGTTCAAGAACAAGCCTCAACGGGCCTTGAAGAAATCTCGAGCCCAATTCAAGATCAAGCCTCAACGGCCCTTGAAACAATCTCCAGCCCAATTCAAGATCGTGCCTCGATGGCCCGTGGATCGACATCTACAGTAAGGGACTTCAAAACGCATCTCCTACACGTGACAAGCACATGTACACGACGTGCCTTGAAGTGGGGGCATTTGTAGACATCGAAATTTCGTAAATAAATGTTGACCGGTAAATCAAAGTGTCAACGCTCATGTATTACATAAATTTTACACGTAGCGTGTGATTCAACGAAAATTGAAATGAGTTGGAAAAGTCATCAAATAGGACACGTGTCAACACCTGGCAGAAACGACTTATTTCATCTGGAATATTATATTCAAAATTAGGCCTTGGAAATTTCTATAAATACAAGCCTATTTCATTCATTGAAAAAAAACCAAAATCATTAGGCAAAACTCTTGAAGCTCTGAAGCTCTGAAACTCCGAAGCTCTCAAGCATCTAGGTTCCCGAAGAATCAAGAAAGCCTTCTTCGTTCTTCGTTCATCGTTCTTCCAAGATCAAGCCCCAACGGCCCTTTGGATCAACAATCATCCACCAATTCAAGATCAAGCCCCGACGGCCCTTGAAGAAAGTGTTCTTCGTTCTTCGTTCATCGTTCTTCCAAGATCAAGCCCCGACGGCCCTTGGATCAACCATCCACCAATTCAAGATCAAGCCTCGACGGCCCTTGAAGAAAGCACCATCGTTCATCATCCGTTCATCCAAGATCAAGCCCCAACGGCCCTTTGGATCAACAATGTCGACAAATCCACACATCCAACCGTTCTTCAAGATCAAGCCCAAAAGCCCTTGAAGATTCGTTCATCACTGTTCTTCAAGATCAAGCCCAAAAGCCCTTAAAGATCCGTTCGTCACTGTTCTTCAAAGATCAAGCCCAAAAACCCCCTTTGAAGATCCGCTCAAATCCACCTTCAAGATCAAGTCTACGGCCCTCGAAGAACGTTCATCCTTAGATCAAGCCCAACGGCCCTTTGGATCAATCGCACATCCACAAATACACACCTTACGGAGATCGAATCAGAGGATCAAAATAGAGAGAGATTGTAACCCAAAATCATCAAATACAAATATTTGTTTGTGCACGTCGTTCTTGTCTCTTTCGTTTCAGGAATTTTCCGTGTTCACAATTATATATATATATTTATACATATATATTATATATATTTATACATATATATTATATATATATTTATACATATATATTATATATATTACTTTTATAATTGATGCTAGTAGTTTCTAATTCATGCTCCGCAACCTGGAATGCCCTACACCTTGTATATTTTTCATGTTCTATTTGATATTCGTTTGAATTTTATTATTGATGCTGTCATGGCTGATGATTTCAGAAGGCTTGATTATTTTGTCTCTCAACAGATTGCAAAAAGGGTTTAATTAATTTGAATTTTGACTCTGATAAAAACAGTCAGGCATGCTAGTTTTAGATTAAATGGTAGTGTGAATGAAATGACATTCCTAGTTCATGAATGTGTTCTTGAATTATATATTTGAACAACAATTCAAAATTTCATATTTAAATTTGGGATTCCCGATTTGTCGGGAAATCCCAAAAATATTTTCGGGATTCCTGAAATTTGGAATTCCCGAAAATTTGGTTTGGAATTGGTCTTCAAATTCTCGCCCCTAAAAATTTCGGTTTGGAATTCGGGATACTAGTTTCGGCATGGCATCTCATACCGAACCACCCCTAGTTTCTCATGAGTTCATAGTAGGGATGAAATTTTTTGTCAAATTACCGTACCAAACGAATTGCCAACTGTATTATACTTATTTTGTGTCAATTGGTAATGGTACGGTATTGTACCAAACCAAAAATGTTTGGTACAATATTGGTATTTGATACCATTATCATAGTATTACAGTACCGTACTGAAAAATATAATAATATATAACTATATATATCTAATATTTCACTTTTTGAAGTTCAATGCCTCAATCTTTTACAAGTTCAATGTCTCCAAATACTTCTACATCTCAAGTTTGAAATTTTGATAAATGAATTTCACTTTTTGAAGTTTGGTTCCAATTTTCAGTTGGTTTGAAACTTTAACCTTTTTTTTGGATTGTGAACTTTATTTTCATCATAAATATTGATAGCATCATTTGACTTAATATGTGTGTAAATTGTGAATGATAAATGATAGATGATTTTAGTCTACAATGTATAAGATAAAGGCACCAAAAAAAAAATTCAAACCCAAAAAGTGGCCCAAAACAAAGTGACAATTACCTGCCAACCGAACTATTTCACAATACCGAACTTCGGTATATCGAAAATTTTGTACGGTAATAGTAATAAATTTTATCAAACCAAAAGTTTGTTATAGTAATTAGTGTCAGCAGTTGTGATCGGGTGTAAATAAATTTTATCGAACCATCAACATGACGACACATGTTTTCAAGTATTTCCAAATGACGTCAAATGATTGATTCAGAACACAACAATTTCAGTATTCTCGTTTCATGCAAGTCTTCCTCGTCAATAACATCTCAAACTCCCAATCAGAAAACCTTCCCTGCTAACAAATAACTTGAAACAGAAAAGCAACTGCTAGAAAGATGCAAATTGAAACGTAAAAATAAGATCAAAGGTGAAGGCTCCAAGTTTAACATAAATCTAACAAAAACTTGAAACAAAAAATTCTTCCATATTTGCTTAAAAGCTCCAACAACAAAAGTAACATAACAGTACAGCCAAAACAATGCATTTAAAACAGAGATGTTCCCTTTCCCTTCTTGTCTCCACCGATTTCAAAGTGCTTGCACCTCTGCAGAAAGAAACCAGTGCAACGTTGGACATTATCGAAAATCTAGGGTATAAACAAAACGAAGCAATTTGCACCATAACACTAACCTTGATCGGGTGCTGGGATACATGTTTGCATCCCTGGCACTGGAGCCTCAACACAATCTTCTTTGTAGTCTTTGCCTGTTTATCAATGTCAAAGTTATCAAATTTAAATTCAAATAACCAGACAGTAGACAAATCAATATCCCAAATCGACAACCACCGACGAATTAATCTGATTGGGAGCAAAATCAAATGTATACCTTCTTGTGGAAGACTGGCTTTGTCTGTCCACCATAACCAGACTGCTTGCGATCGTAACGACGCTTTCCCTGAGCAGCAAGACTATCCTTGCCCTTCTTGTATTGTGTAACCTTGTGCAAGGTGTGCTTCTTGCACTCCTTGCTCTTGCAGTAGGTCTTCTTGGTCTTGGGAACGTTCACCTGAAAATTTGAATACGGGTTAAGATCCATATGCCAACGAATCAAACCGAAAAGCAAAATACAAAGTCAATTATGAAATCTGACCAAAACCAGCTTCTGTATGCTTTCAAACAAATCAAACAGAAAATGAAATATGTAATCTTTCGAGCACACAGTTACCGTAAACTTTTAAAAGAAATCGAACAAAACATCGGAATAGATAATCGATTACAAATCTGATTAAAACCCAGTTACAGTAAGGTTTCTAACAAATCAAACACCAAAACAAAATTGAAAACAAACTAACAATCTAATGAAAACCCAGGTATTGTAATCATCATAAAAGATAAATTACTAACAAAACGGATTTATGCAATCTGATAAGAACCCAAATTGCAGTATGAAGCATACGAACAAAATTAGTAAACAATAGCAAAGCCCTAAACTATCAACAAAACCAGATTAAACCCATAAATTTAAACCGAAAATGAATCATTAAAGCTTGTTTAAGCTAAAAAATACCCAGAAAATAAAACGAAATTGCTACAACCCCTTCCAATCAAATTCACGATTAAATTTCTCAGGAATTTTTGCATAAACAGATCCGAAACAAAAACTACGAGAACTAAGCTGAAAGTATATCTGTGTTAGAGAAGAAGAAGAGTGAGAAAGAGAGAGAGAGAGAGAGAGACATACCATGGTGGATGCCGCGGCGTCGATATACAGAAATGAGCAGCTGAAGTTTGCTACAAGAACCCTAGAGGGCTTCGGACTGGTTTGAGTTGGATTTTATACTTGATGGAATGGGCTTTTGTTCGGCTACAATTTTTCTCATTTTTGAAACGGCCTGGGCTGCCTTTAGTGTTTTATTAAATTGGGCTTTTAATGAAATGTTTGAACTGTTATCATATATTCTATATATACTAAAACCCAAACATCTGGTTACTGTTCTAGGACAGTGTGCGGACAAAAATGCCCCTCAAGCCAATTTTTTGTCATCTTTTCTACAGTAAAATGTCGAAATTGCCATTCCAAATTTTTGTTCCGTTAACTTCCTTCTATACACGTGTTGCTCATCGTGAAGGCAAGAAGGATGGAAAAGCTAGGGCTCTTCCATTTGCTTCCAGAACGTATTTCTCCAGTTCTCCGCTCTCTCGCTCAAGACCCGAACCCCTGGCCTCTGCAAGTAGGTTCGTCTCTGTCTCTCTCATCTTTTTTCTTTTTTTTTCAATTCTCTGTCTCTCTCATGCATTCAATCCACCATGTGTTTCGCTACCAAGATCACCAGCGAGCTGTTTTGAGGAAACAAATCCTTTTCCTCCGATACCAATTTTATCAGGCCTCGATAATCTTGGTGTATCAGGCCTTGATAATCTTGGTGTATCAGGCCTTGATAATCTTGGTGTAGGTTTTGGACGATGGGTGCCCTAACATTTATTCAAACAAGAGTGACTCTTTGTGCTGCTCTTGTGCCGACCATTCTAAAGAAATGGAAGGAAGCAATGCCTGTCAGGAGAATGTGCATTTTCCAACACCTCTAATATTTGGCAAAGTAGGCGTGAGGATGTTTGAGACATCAGAGGAAAACCAAAATTTTATGGCAGCTCACCTGTTAGCACAGTGGTGGATGGATGATTTGGAACTTCAAACTTTCTCCCCTGAGATCATCAGCAGGAAGTTGACACCCGTCGCCTTAGATCCTTAGATCTCCAAAGTCTGAGTGACTCTAAACAAAATTTTCTGCAAATTTGAGATGCTATTTTGTATATTTTAGCTAGGAGCTTGCTATTACGGCGAAGAAGTTTATATAGATGCACTGATGTAGAAAAAAATCAATGCCTTTCCGACGAAATTACAAATCCGGAAGGCAATCTTTCCTCTTGGCAGCTGAAAGAAAACATTTTTTCACTTGATTTTACTGTATTTGAGTATTAAGGATGCCAATCCGTTCGTCAGGCGTACGAAACTATCAACGGTTCTCTTGAGGCATCTCCGGATACATTGTTGTAGTAGGAGTACAGAGCCAATTGGACAAGCCCTAAAATTGTTCCAATACCATTTGGGTTCTGCATCCAAAGTATAATTTGAAGAGGATCAACACAAGTTCCGAAATTCGTATTTAAAATGTAAACATCTTGATGCAGAAAACAGAACACTTACATAGAGGAAAGGGTCTTTCTTGAACACTCCATATGCAGAGAAAGAGATACTCATCAGAAAAGTCGCGAGAGAAAGATTGAATGGCATGAACTCAACACTCCTTGACCAGTTTCTGAAAAAAGGTACACGCGAAACCATATGAGCGAGGATAAATTGCACTGTCCAAAACCTACGAGCGAGAAATTGCAAGTGCAAACCTACTATGATAAACAGCGGCGAAGCAAACATTGAGATGAGCGAAGCAACACTCAAGTATCCGACAAACGTTTGCCTCTCATCGTAGTCTAAAAGTCCTAAGCCCACAAAGACAACGAACGCGAACACAACAACAACTGCCGCTATCAATCCCATCATCCTCAGCTGCAAAAGAATTAACATTTTCAAGAACAGTCATGCAAAGTTGTAAAAGCGATTTGATATCGATAAGAGCAGGTAGAATTGGGAGAAAATATAACCTTAATCGCTCTTTCAGTGTATGTAATGAACATGCTCAAGTAGACTAACTGGAAAACCGCCACGACTGAATTGACTGTAGCCACCAGTATAATACCAGTCTTGACTATAGGCAAGCCATACCAGGAGCATATCAAGCAGTTCAAAAGTGCATATATGTAAGGCAATCCAGAGAATTGTTCTGTTGACTTGGTTATGACAATTCTCTTAAATGTTGGTCTGGAAAACAAAATATTGTGATACGATCATAATCAAGACCAATATTTCATGAATTTTCACTTTTTCTTCATAAATTTTTTAAGCAACTTACATTGGTAACAGAAACAACACAAAGGCAAAGACATTCCCTGCAGTTGACAAGGATAGGTGTTAGAATGGAAAATAAATTTGGCAATCTGAGACATTCTTGTCCTTTATCTAGATGCATAGCCATGCATTGCCAGCTGATTTTTATGCATCTTTTTTTTTAAAATCCGATATTCTAAATTAACTCTAATTTATAGGAAAAGAAGATTTGAACTCGGATGTAAGTAGCAGGCATATCGCCCTAGTTAACTAGCCTAACCCCATATATGCATCTTAAGCATATGCATTTTCTTCACAAATCAACATTTCAAAAACATTCAATCACCACAACAGTATCTTATAAAGTCATTCAACAGAATTCATAGTTTTGCTTCCTCAAAAAACATAAAATTATGAATTTACCCATGCACCGAAGTCCCGATTTCAATTTCCCTTTCCTCCTGTATCGCTTGTATAAAAAAAATGGAAGAAGTATAATATGGTGTTTAGATGAAGAGGGTACCTGCAATGCCGGCAGCAGTACTCCAACCTAAATAAACAGAAGACAATCCAGTCAACAACATCAATCTATATGAATTATCAAAAACACTGCTCAGAAAATGTATGTCTACTCCACACAACACATAAGCTCTTTCTCTCTCTTCTCATTTTCTCTCTCCTCTTTATATATCTTGTAACTTTGTATATTAATGGTCCAAAAGGGAAGGCTTTTTCTTAATGTATATACTACTACTTACATAGGAACCTAGAGAACCTGCACCATCTATTATTTACTACCAACTTTTTGAGACTTTTTGAACGAGCCACGGACAGCTTTTGTTGAACTAAGGATATCCGATTATGTTTGTTGATGCACAAAATCTGGAGGATCTTGAACCAGCGTAAATCCGATCATGAATCACACAAATGCTCAAGAACACAAAGATGTATCGTGATTCACCCCAAAATTTAGGCTACGTCTGCACTGATGTTGATTATGTATGTATGTATGTATGGATTACAATAGATCGGCAAGGGAGCTCTCTGTGGATGCAGCCCTTGCCATTTTGCTCTCTGTTTGGCTGAGAGGGTACTGCCCTCTATTGTTGTGAGGATTGAGTGTGAGATTGTTTCCTCCGAAGGTGAGGCTTTTCTAATGAGGGTGATGGAGAGTCCCTTTTATAGGATAAGGGCTCCCTCCCCTTTTACATTTGTCATGGGCTTAAGGATGAGGCCCAAAGACGAGGCCTAATATATGGTACCAACATGAGTCCCTCAACTGTTCAGTCAAAAGAGTCTTTTGGCTGGAGACTTCAATCCAATCCATGTACAGGCCGAAGTGGCTAGATGTCTTGAACCAGTACTCAATCCAAGGCAATGCTCAACATAAAACAATATTCAGCTAGATGTATCACACGTTACGAGACTGCTCGGTTGGAGGCGATGCTCATTGCGAGGCTGCTCGGCTATAGGCTATGCTCGCGGCGAGGCGGTTGCTCGATTAGAGGCGATGCTCGTTGCGAGGCGGCTCGGCTCGTGGTATTCCTCATTGCAAGTATTTACTTTATGTCGACATGCACTCAGTATGAGTTGATTCTCGATATGACTCGGATCCGCTTGTTGGGTTAGACAAGAGATCACTATCGGACTAAATATTTGTCACCATAAGCATGTGGCCCATCAGTCTATAAGTTGGTAGACTTCTTTAATCAGCAACAATGTTGATCAATGGATCTGGTTGCTCAATAATTCCTGACAATAAATGACAGTATAAGTATGACCGTATAATGAATAAATCAAATTGACAAAGTTTGTCAAGGAAAAATATTGTACCATGTGCCTTCTGTAAATAAATAATTTATTCGATCGTGTGGTAAATCACATGTTGTATAAGTGACATAGTTTAATGACAATCACAATACTCTAGGCCAATAAATATTGTATAATAAAGTTTTATCCTACCACTTTAAATAATGAAGTCATGAATGATTAAAGATGCAATAATAAAATATTAATTAATAAAATAATTGTAAGGAAGATTGCAGACTAGCGTTTGTAAAGCATATGCCCATTGTAAAGCAAATCAAACCGGGAACGTACTATATAGGTGTGATAGAAATGATGTGGCCTCATTATGCATATTGTAAAGCATCAACCAACACAAAATAATAATAAACTATTAAATAAACAAATGATAATTTTAAACAAATCAGCCCAAAGTTAAAGTGTTTATGTTTTTCCACGTTGGTGGTCGACAGTTGCAGATTGTTGGTGCGCACTACGCCTACTTGAGAGTTTTACTTTTTCCTTTCTCTTTATTTTTCTTTCTTTTGGCAGATGGCAAACAATAATAAAATAATTAATAATAAAAAACTTATCTTCTTCGTTGCAACCCAATCAGGTTGGGAAGAGGACCACTGCAGATCCAAGCATCATTGCCGTGACGCCATGTTGTACTGATGCACAGTCAATATGCGTGTAGCCATTCTTGACTTCAGCGATGACAGCTTGACCGACCACACTTGGTTCAGCCTTCCATGTTCTAAGACCAACATATGGGATCTTAGCTCCCGTATTCATATCAAAATACAAAGTTTCATATTTGTTTTCGCCCATCTTCTTCATCCTTTGGGCATAAACCATTGCCCTGTGGTAGTGCTCCTTCATTCTCAACCCTAGGTGGGGAATCCTCTCAAAGAGCTCAAATGCCACCTTGGCATTCATTATGGGACCCAAGAGCATCAGGGAGCCTTGGTGTAGATCCATCATTAAGTTCACCAGGCTTGTAGGTCTGCACATAACACCTGTAATAATATCAGCACCGCTGCTAATAAACCTGGAAATACTGTCAACAATAACATCAGCACCAAGTTTCACCGGAGAGAGAACCATGAGAGAAAATGTGTTGTCCACCACAACCGTGACCCCCTTTTCGTGGCCGATACGGCTGAGCTCCGATATGTTGGCGACGGTAAGAGTTGGGTTTGACATGCCTTCGAAATAGAGTACCTTGGTCTTCTCGACCTCAATAGTATTCCTCATTATGTTCATGTCGTTGATGTCCACAAACGTCGTCGTTATGTTGTATGCCCTGGGGAAGAAATGGGACATGACGGCGTGGGTCCCTCCGTAAACAGTTTTTGAGGCTACGATGTGTTCCCCGCTGCTGTCAAGCTGGAGCAGGACGAAGGATATGGTTGACATCCCTGAGGACGTGCAGTAGGCGGCCTCTATGCCCTCGAGGACTGCCATCTGGGGACTGAGATTGAGCACGGTAAGGTTAAAGTGGCATCTGTAAATGAAGAAGTCGCGGTCGGCACCCAGCTCGTCGAAGAACATTTTGCGAAGAGTCTCAGGCTCCATCACGGTGAACGTGGCGGATGCCTCAATCGACATGTTGACACCACCGTGCTCACCAAACTCATGGCGAGCATTGGCTAATGCCGTAGCTGGGTCTTCCCAGGCTGCAGCTGCAGCCGAGGACAACAACATGGACTTTTTGGCGGAGTTGTTTGTGCTTTGGGTTTGGGTTTTTGCATATTCACAGTGGATATTGTGGTGAGGTTTCACGATAGTGAGATGAAAAAATGAAAGATAACCGACATAACATTTCGTGTCGTTTCCCACAGACGGCATCAAATGTTGATGCACAAAATCCGGATGATCTTGGACCAACATAAATCCGGTCGTGAATCACATAAACACTCAAGAACACAAAGATGTATTGTAGTTCACCCCCAATGTTTGGACTACGTCCACACTGATGTTGATTATGTATGTATGTATGGATTACAATAGATCGGCAATGGAGCTCTCTGTGGATGCAGCCCTTGCCATTTTGCTCTCTGTTTGGCTGAGAGGGTACTGCCCTCTATTGTTGTGAGAATTGAGTGTGAGACTGTTTCCTCCGAATGTGAGGCTTTTCTAATGAGGGTGAGGGAGAGTCCCTTTTATAAGATAATGGCTCCCTCCTCTTTTACATTTGTCATTGGCTTAGGGATGAGACCCAAAAACGAGGCCCAATATATGGTACCAACAATGTTAAACTTCTAAGTTCTAATTAAGCAAATATAGCGTTACAAATGATGGGAAATTGGGAACCGTTAGTACTCCAAGTTAGCCAAATGCAACTATAATGCATACATTTATATACTGAACAAACGACATGGTATTTTCAAAAAACGTATGACAGTTCAACCACACAAAAGAGCTATAATATTCAATGTCATTCAGGTTTAAGGGTCGAACCCTACAATATGTTTTAGTCCAATAATTTTTCACTCCCTTTTGACAAGAATAAAAAACTTAAGTGATAGATTCGATAGCCTCCACTCATGTCTTAACGTCACTGATAGTCAATTAAAAACACTGATTGCGACATCACATTGGTAGCCTTTACTCGTATCCTAGCTTGTCTGAGAGCTAAATTTGCCTTAATTATCTGTCTCTTGCCTTTAGCTTTCCTCAAATTAGTTTCTGCCATTTCAAGAGTTTGTTGAATTTCTTGTGGATCAATGTCTCTATCCTTCTCGGCATCATTTACTAAAAACCGTAATCTCATTATTGCGTATTCTAGCAAAACCACTCATCGGAGCCATTGTTGACAATTGATCGTTAAAGCGTATTTTCAAATACCCATACCTACAGCTGTGGCAATATATATATCCTTCGGCTATATAAAAATATGAGGACTCATCCCACGCCATCACTCATCAATTGGTTGATATTTTTATGTGTTTGTTTGTCACTTGTATATACGTTGTATTGGTTGTAATCACGTGTCGTATAATATATATATATATATATATATATATATATAATATAGCCAAAGGATTCATGGTACCATATTTTTATACAATTTTTTCATATATGATTTTAGGGATCCATTACGTTATGTATTTCAGTGATCTTATCGTTTATGTTTTCTCTCAAATATCATGTCTACCAAAATCATGCAAATTTGAAATCATATAACCGTTAGATTAAGAGTTTAGGGTTTCTTTGTAAAACCGTATTCGTTCATTTCCTTCAATACAAAAGAATGTTTTAACGATTTTGAATTTGTCTAATTTTTTGCAATGATGGTTTATGAATGATGTTTTAAAAGATAAACTTCGAATCGTATTATTAAAATAACATAAAAATTAGAACCCACAAAAATGTGTATAAAAAAATAATGTCACGAATCTGTCCCATATTTTTATTCTCATCTCATCTTTTAAATTAATGAATATTCGGTCGAATATTGGAATATGCAGAAGGGTTTCTTATTGTCAATAATTTTGCTTTTTTCGGTAGGTTAATTAATTTGATTGGGACAACAAACAATAGGATGGATGTCTTGATCAACTTTTATTTTTTATAATTTTATACATAGCTCCAATCAGATTAAGTGTTCACACTTGAAACTTATGTATATGAAAACAAAAATGAACCTCAGAACCTTCCTCGTCCTCATGTTAATTGGTACCTGAACATATTTTTACAAGAGAAAAAGAGGGTGCTAGTTGTACTTTTGCAACTAATTACAAGTAACAATGTTTCGAAACCTCATGTGAAAGAATTGGGTATGCAAGTTGTGAAAATGGCATGCAAGATTCACACTCTCAACACGCTTTTTACGTGTGATAAATTTTTAAGTCTAATACGACCATAAAACCAATTGGGAAAGTCATTTATTTCTTCGAATTGAATTGGTCAAACCACTATGAAACTTGTGTTCTTCTGTGTTTGCTTTTGCTTGGTGTTTTGGTATTTTCTTTGTGGTTGGTTTGATTATTTGCTCATCATAGTTCATTAATAACAAAATCCACAAAGGCATTCGTACACCGTTCATATATATATATATATATATATATATATATATATATATATGTCACATCCCGGTCCAGGTCTACACCACATCACCCGAGCTCCCACCACATCTCGAGCTCGACTCCGCCGTAGCACGATATTGTTCACTTTGGGCCCCGACCACGCCCTCACGGTTTTGTTTATGGGAACTCACACGAGAACTTCTCAGTGGGTCATCCATCATGGGAATGCTCTCGCGCGAACTCGTTTAATTTCGGAGTTCCTACGTAACCCAAAGTCAGTGAGCTCCCAAACAGAGGCGGAGCCACAGTGGGGTCAATGGGGTCGCACGACCCCTTGGAAGCCATGGAAATAACCTTAGAGGTCCCTTGGAGTTGCTGGTTCGACCCCTTGAAGCTACTGGTGCGACATCTTGGAGCTGCACACCACTTGTTCGACGAAATGTTTGAAAGAAGAAATAAGGCAGCCTTGCAGGTTGAAGAAGAATGAGCCTTTTTTTTTAAAACAACCTGGGCAAAACGACGTCGTTTTGGCCCAGGGAATTTTTTTTAAATGACCTGGCCAAAACGACGTCGTTTTGGGCCAGGTCTGAAAAGAAAAAAAAAAAGGCAGCTCTCTTCTTCTTTCATAGATCCGACTCCCCCATTCCAAAACCCCCAATTTTCTTTTGTTTTCTCCTCCTCCAACCCTAAGTTCCAAACTCAATCCCCCCCCCCCAAACCCTCAACTCCATCTCCTCCCTTGCTGCCGCCATTGAGGTGCCGCGCTGTGGTGGTGGTGGTGCCGCACCAGCTCTCTTTATATTTGCTCATTGACATTGTTATTGTGAAATTTCACAATTCAAGTAAGTTATAAACCCTATGTATAATGTATGATATATTTAATTTAATTGAAACCTAATTCATATTTATTTTGATTATATTGGTGATTTGATTATATTGTGAGTTTTTATTTTCATTATTTTGTATATGTAGAATATATTTAATTTAATTGAAATTCAATTCATATTTATTTTGATTATATTGATGGTTTGTTTATATTGTGAGTTTTTATTTTCATTATTTTGTATATGTAGAATATCTTTAATTTAATTGAAATCCAATTCATATTTATTTTGATTATGTTGATGGTTTGTGTATATTGTGAGTTTTTATTTTCATTATTTTGTATATGTAGAATATATTTAATTTAATTGAAATCCAATTCATATTTATTTTGATTATGTTAATGGTTTGTTTATAGGCAACTTTAACGAAAAGCACCCGGTACTGTTCACTTTAACGAAAAATCATATTTTTACACTAAAAAGTCAATCCTGGTACTATTCACTTTACCCTTTATTTTGTCCTTATCATTAAAACTCAAAGTTTTCAAGCCCTTTTCATTAGTTTTCTTTTGTTTATATTGTGAGTATTTATTTTGAATATTTTGTATATGTAGAATTATTATGGAACGGTTTTTTAAGAGAAAATCATCATCGGGTTCGGGTAGTTCGAATAATGTTGATAGTTCAAATGTTGTTGGTAGTTCAAGAACTCCAAGTTCAAGACAAAGTCAGTTAGATGATGTTTTGGGTAATCTTCAAGCGGATCCTGGATTAAGAATTCAAATGATAGATTATGATGCTAATATGAGAGATGAGGTCCGAAGATCATATCTACAAAAAGGACCTTGTCAACCTAGAGGTCATAATTTCCCAATAACTAATATGTCGGGAATTAATCGACACTTCATTTCCCAATGGTTTGATGAGTTTGATTGGTTGGAGTATAGTATATCCAAAGATGCGGCATTTTGTCTCTATTGCTATCTCTTTAAAACCAATTTTGAACAAGTGGGTAGTGAAGCTTTCACTAGAGATGGATTTAAGACTTGGAAGAAAGGGAGAGAAAGATTTAAGATGCATGTTGGACCGGTTGGGAGTGTTCATAATAAGGATAGAGAAGCTGCTACAAATTTGATGAATCAAGCTACACATATTGAAACAGCAGTGAGCAAACACTCCGACCAAGCTCGTAAGGCTTATCGCACATGCTTGAATGCATCAATCAAGTGCACTAAGTTTTTATTGCGACAAGGTCTTGCTTTTCGTGGTCATGATGAAAGTGCCACTTCAAGCAATAAGGGAAATTACTTGGAGCTATTGCAATTTCTTGCAGGTAATGATGATAAAGTTAGAGAAGTTGTGATTGAAAATGCTCCGGGGAATCTCAAATTACTAGCTCCTTCCATTCAAAAAGAAATTGTGAATTCATGTGCCATTGAAACACTTGATGCTATCATGGATGGTATAAAAGATAGATTTTTTTCAATATTGGTGGATGAAGCACGTGATGTGTCGGTGAAAGAGCAAATGGCTATGGTGTTGCGTTATGTGGATGACAACGGGCATGTAATTGAAAGATTTGTGGGTATCCAACATGTTACCGACACTACTTCAAGTTCACTAAAGGATGCTATTGACACATTCTTTTCTCGCAACGGTTGAGCATTTCCAAGTTACGAGGACAAGGTTATGATGGTGCTAGAGGTGAGTTGAATGGCCTTAAAACAAAGATATTGAGAGAACAACCTTGTGCATATTATGTTCATTGCTTTGCACATCAACTTCAACTAGCTCTTGTTGCCGTGGCAAAGAAGAATATAGACATTGCCTCTTTTTTTGTAACGGCTAATAGTGTGGTTAATCATGTTGGAGCATCTTGTAAGCGGCGTGATTTACTTAGACAACAACTTCAAGAAGAGCTTGTGATAGCTTTTGAAAATGATTGTCTTATAACGGGGCGAGGCTTAAATCAAGAAACAAGTCTCAAACGTGTCGGAGACACACGATGGAACTCACACTATGGTACCTTGATTAGCATCATTTCCATGTTTTCATCCGTGGTTCATGTGCTTCAAATGATTATTGATGATAATCCCAATGAAAGTGCGGGCGAAGCAAATAAGTTAATGAGAGACATATGTACTTTTGAGTTTGTGTTTCACCTTTTCTTGATGAAAGTCATATTGGGACTCACAAATGATTTGTCACAAGCATTGCAAAAGAAATATCAAGAAATTGTGAATGCAATGGCTTTAGTGAAATCATGCAGGGAAAAGCTACATTGGATGAAGAATAATGGGTTCGATGCATTGGTTGATGAAGTATCTTCTTTTTGAAAAACATCATATTGATGTTTCTAACATGGAAGAGGCATTTATACTTCCAAGGAGGTCAATGCGTAATGCTCCAATAAAGACAAATCGTCATCATTATCGTGTGGAGCTCTTCATTTATGTCATTGATGAGCAAATTACGGAGTTAGAGGATCGCTTTAATGAGGTAAATGCTGAGTTGCTTATTTGTTTGGCATGTTTGAGTCCGAAAGATTCATTTGTAGCTTTTGATAAACCAAAGTTACTTCATCTTGCTCAATTTTATCCTCAAGACTTTTCGGATGAAGATCTATTGGCACTTGAAGATCAACTTGAGATTTATATTCATTATGTGCGTTCCAGTAGTGATTTCTCTCAATTGGAAGGGATTGGTGATCTTGCAAAAAAATGGTGGAGACAAGGATGCATCAAATATTCAATTATGTATATTTGCTCATTACATTGTCTTTAGTTTTACCAGTTGCAACTGCTTCAGTGGAGAGAACATTTTTTGTCATGAATATTGTTAAGGGTCCACTTAGGAACAAAATGGGAGATCAATGGTTGAGTGATAGCTTGCTTGTTTATATTGAGAGAGATATTTTTGCT